TGGTTTTTTTGTTGTTGTTGTTTACCGAAGTCCCGGGCTGATTAGACATAGCAATGGCAGCTGGGGGTGGCCTGGGCCGTGCATTGAATTTGTGACTTTAGCAAGTCCCTAAAATTCCTCTCTGCCTCACTTTTGCTGCCTTTTTTAGGTTAAAAGTGTTTTGGAGAATAGAAAACAAAACAAAAATAATGGCTTATAGTGCCAATATGGAATTATAATCACTCCTAACGTTTTGGTATATTGTTTTGTATTTGCTTTGTTTTTATCTTATGCTTATGTATTTTTAATTTTTTTCCATCACTGTCATCATATTTCCTATTCAAGTCTTCAGCCTGCTTTAAAAATTTTTTAATCGTGAAGTTCCGTAAAAATTTTATTTCAGCCAATTTCTTTTATAACACGTTCTTCATGAATCTTATCTGATATCTGCATAATATTCCACTCATACTTTGCCCAATTAGACATTTAGGTCGTGCGTACTTTTTAAATAATGATACAGTAATTTCTAAATAGTGTATAATTTCAATTTTTGTTTCTTAGTTATCATAAGAGTTCTTAAAAGGTGATAACAATTTTTTAAGTGGATAGATTATTTTCCCCCTTCCTTGGTTTATAATTTTATTGCTCTGTGGTCTGAGAATGTGGCTGTCTTTACGCTTTTTGAAATTTAAGTTTTTGATTGATGGTTGATTTCATAAATAAGTGTAGGCACAGTTTTGTATACTTGATTGGGCACAAAACTTCTTTTATATTAGATCAAGCTTTGTAAAATGTATTACCCATAGCTGCTATGTCTTTTTAAAATTTTTATCTACTTGATCTAATTTCTGAAAGAACTGTAAGTTTTTCAAATGTATTTGTGGATTTACTATTTCCTCTTTATATTTCTAACAGTTTGTACATTATATATTTTAAAGTGATGTTATGGAGTATAAAAACCACATAGCTGTTAAAAAGTAATAAACAAAGATACATTTTGGTATATATATCTTTTTGTGCATTTGAATTATTTTCTTGGTTTGAATTTTTAGAAGGAAATGGCTGTAAAGGCAAGTTGGCCTTTCAAAGATTTGACAATGTTGGCCACATCAGAGTTCTTCTTTCACTAACTCTTGGTCAGCCCCAGGAATTAAAAAAAATTACACACACACATACACGGACACGCACACACACACATATGCTTATAGTAAGTCTTCACTGTCATCTGTAGGTTCTGGGAAACTGCAACTTTAAGCTAAACAACATCTAGTAAAACCAATTTTTCAATCGACATTGTAAAAAAAAACCGCATTGAATGAAAAAATACTTTTTGAGGATCTGCTGTATGTTATTTTACTTAAAATAACAGTTTCCAGGAACCTATACATGATGTTAAGTGAGGACTTAGTATGTGTGGGGTGTGTGTGTGTGTGTGTGTGTGTGTGTGTGTGTGTATGCATCAATATTATTTTGAGAAAATCAAGAAGTGGGATAATTTTTGCTATTTCCTTTGATTTTTATTGTGGTTGACGGTTTTTCTGTAGATCTGTAATCACTTGAATTTTCTTTGTGGTGTGTGGATTGTCTGTTCTTGTCCTTTTGTGCTTTTGTTTTCTGACTTTTAACTCAAGGAGGTTAATGTCTTTCAGCTCTTACACTGTAGGAATTACATTGCCATTTCTTCTACCACAAAACACCTTATTGAAAAAGAAAAACTGTGGTGCACCAAACCGATGTCTCAAATTCACCCTGACTGCCCCTGCTCCTCCTGGATCTTAGCAGAAATTTCAGTATGGCAAACAAAGCAGATAGAGTTCCTGTGGGGCCTAAAGCTTATGCAATTTGGGAATCTTCTTTAACTACTTTTTTTTTTTTTTTTTGAGTGGTGAGATTTTAGCATATTTTGGCTGAAATATGGGAAAAAATAATGCCCAGTGAGATTACATGATATTCCTGGGATTGATGGATTCATGTCCCAATTTCCCTCTGAGAAAGAGAGTGGGGTGGTGAGGAAGGGAAGGTAGTACGGAGAGCTAGGACCCTTTGCCTTCTTTCAGGATGAGAAAGAAAAGGAATAGCCAAGCTTGCCATACACAAGTGGCCCCATCCATTTATAATATTCTTTTGGTATCTTTTTATTGTCTGTGAGATCCATAGTAATGATCTCTCTATTGTTTCTGATATTAGTAATTTTTGTCTTCTCTTTTTTTTTCTTGGTTAGGTTGACTAGAGTTTTACCAATTTTATTGATCTTTTCTAAGAAGGAGCTATTGTTTTATTTTCTCTATTGTTTCCTGTTTTCAATTTCATTGATTTCTCTAATTTTTATTATTTTTATTCTTCTGCTTGCTTTAGGCTTGTATTGCCCTTCCTTCTATTGTTTTCTAAGGTGGAATTTTAGATGATCAATTTTAGATCTCTTTTTAAAACATATGTATTTAATGCTATAAGTTTCCCTCGAAGTACTGAATTGCTGCATCCCATGAATTTTGAGAAGTTGCATTTTCATTTAGTTCAAAGTGTTTTAAAATTTCTCTTGAGATGTCTTCTTTGACCCATGTGTTATTTAGAAGCACTTTGTTTAATCTTCAAGTATTTGGAGACTTTTCGGCTCTCTTTTTGTTATTAATTTCTAGTTTAATTCTATTGTGGTCTGAGAGCATACTTTACATGATTTCTGTTCATTTCACTTTGTTAAAGAATGCTTTATGGGACAGAATGCAATCTCTTTTGGTAAATGTTCCATGTGAACTTGGAAGAATATGTATTTTGTTGTCGGATAGAGTATTCTATAAATGTCAATTAGCTCAAACTGGTTGAGAGTGCTGTTGAGGTCAATTAAATCATTACTGACTTCCTACCTGCTAGATTTATCAATTATTGAGAGAGAAGTATTGAAATATCCAACTATAATACTGACTTTGTATATTTTTCCTTGCATACCTATCATTTTTTGTCTCAGGTATTTTGATGCTTTGTGATGCATGCATGTTGAGGATTGTTTTGTCTTCTTCGAGAATTGACCCCTTTAATATTACATAATGCCCTTCTTCATCCCTGATGATTTTCCTTGCTATAAAGTCTGATTCATCTGAAATTAGCTCCTCCAGCTTTCTTTCCATAGTGCTAACATGGTATATCTTTTTCTATTCCTTATAACCCATCTGAGTCTTATATTTAAGGTGGGTTTCTTGTAGACAGCATATGGTTAGGCCTTGCTTTTTTGCTACTCTGACAATCTCTGTCTTTTACTCAGTATATTTAGACCATTCACATTGAAAATGATTATTGATACAGTTGGATTAATATCTACTATGTTTGTAACTGTTTTCTATTGGTTACAGTTGTTTCTTGTCTCTTTTTTCCCCTGTCCCATCCATTTTAATGACTATTTATCAATGTTTTCCAAGAGATTGCCTGAGCTCTCAACCAATATCATGTCTAGCTCTGTGTGCAGCAAAATATATTTCCTCATACCTCTGCATAATAAGGCAGGTGCGAAGGTGTTCGTGCAGCATTGCCTTTAAAGTGGGCTAACCCAGTCTTCATCAATGGGGCAACAGGAATTTAAATTATGGTTCACTGACCTACAGGAATACCAGGTGGCAGTTAAACGTAAGCCAATACATCTATATGTCCTGGAATATAGCAAATTCTGACACATATTGTTAAGTAAAAGAAGTGAATTGCAGACCAATATATGTATTATAATTCTTTTAGGTAAAAATTGTGTGTGTGTGTGTGTGTGTGAATGTCTAAATGCACAGAAAAGTGTGTGTCTAAATGCACAGAAAAATCTCTAGGTTTATACAAATTGTGTTGATGGCAGGTTTGGGAAAGCAAAGAAATATTAATTATATTTTTTCTGACAAAACTTATATTCATGTATTCGTAAGCTTTAAACACACACACACACACACACACACACACACACACACTTGTTTAAGACCAGACTGGCCAACATGGTGAAACCCTATCTCTACAAAAATACAAAATTTAGCCAGGCATGATGGCAGTCTCCTGTAATGCCAGCAAATGGGGAGGCTGAGGTGGGAGAATTGCTTGAACCCGGGAAGGTGGAGGTTGCAGTGAGCTGAGATCACACCACTGCACTCCAGCCTGGGCAACAGAGTGAGACTCTGACTCAAAAAGAGAAAGAAAGAAAAAGAAAGAAAGAGAGAGAGAGAGAGAGAGGGAGGGAGGGAGGGAGGGAAGGAAGGAAAGAAAGAAGGAAGGAAGAAGGGGGAGAAAGAAAGGAAAGAAGGAAAGAAGGAAGGAAGGAAGGAAGGAAAGAATAAAGGAAGGAAGAAAGGAAGGAAGGAAAAGAAAGAAAGAGAAAGAAAGAAAAGAAAGAAAGAAAAAGAAAGAGAAAGAAGGAGCGAGCTGGGCATGGTGGCTCACGCCTGTAATGCCAACATTTTGGGAGGCTGAGGCAGGCAGATTGCTTGAGCCCAGAACCTTAAGACCAGCCTGGGCAACATAGGGAGACCCCATCTCTACAATAAATACAAAAATTTGCCAGGTGTAGTAGTGCTCACCTACAGTCTCAGCTACCCAGGAGGCTGAGGTGGAAGAATCACCTGAGTCTGGGAGGTCAAGGCTAGAGTGAGCTGTGATTGCACCACTGCACTCCAGCCTGGGTGACAGAGTGAAACCTTGTCTCAAAAATAAAAAATAAATTAAAAGTAGGCTGGGCATGGGTGGCTCACACCTCTTATTCCAACACTTTAGGAGACCGAGGTGGGTGAATCAACCTGAGGTTAAGAGTTCGAGACCAGCCTGGCCAAACATGGTGTAACCCTGTCTCTACTGAAAATACAAAAATTAGCCATGTGTGGTGGCATGTGCCTGTAGTCCCAGCAGGCAGAGGTAGGAGAATCGTTTGAACCCAGGAGGCAGAGATTGTAGTGAGCTGAGATCGAGTCCCGGCACTCGAGCCTGGGTGACAGAGCGAGACTCTGTCTCAAAAATATATAAATAAATAAATAAAAATAAAATTTAAAAAACCAAAGACGCTTAAAAATGTTTTACCTCACAAGGAGAGAACATCTGCCTGACATAAGTAACCCTCTCTAACCTCAGCATTTGGTGGTTCTTCTGAAATGGGTGGTTCATACTCATGGTGATCTGGTGCTAGAGATGCAGGAAGCAAAGATGTTCCCCAGTACTTAACAAGCTCAATGGTTCCCTTTTCCCAGTCTTTAGGATTTGGGGCAAATTTATTCAAGATGGATACATTTAGTTCCACAAGGTGGACACTTTGGGGGTTCACAAAGATGGGGACCACAGCTCACCAGGGCAGAACTTGAGCCCCCTATGACTTGGGGGGTTGATGGTGGCAGAGAAGTCTCTGCTGGGTGTGTGGGATGATCCCTCTGCAGGACGGAGGAATCTAGTAAAAGTAGTAAAGATCCACTCATCGGGACCTGTGCTTCTTGCCTATGGTTTTCAGGATCCATGGGCTAAGCAGCTTCTGTAAGGTTGCAGTATTGCTGTAGTTTCCGTGCAGGCATCGGGGGACAAGGATTCCTGAAATACCTTCCCCTTGAGGCCTTGCAAAAAGAAAAACAAGAGAGTCTCAATACATGCACCAAGTCAAGGTGTTGGTTACTTATTAAGTAATGACTGATTTTTTTTTTCTGTGACTTAGTGGAGTGAGATGTTGTGTCAAATTAAACACAGAAAGAGCAGGTGTATAACACTCGATAGGCCTAGGGTTACCACAGGATCCAAACACATTTGATTCAGGATCTCAAAGTCAGAAAACTCTGTTTCTGTTGATTTCTTCTCAGAAAGAGGAAACCACACACAGAGAATTACCTACTCAGTTATTCCCCAAAGTTCATCTCATTTGGGAAAGCGGGTGAGAGTTTTATCCTCCCTCTTAGGCATCACTCTCAATTTTATTGCCATGGTTAATCAGGGTGAATTTCAATAGTGTCTGACCTGCAAATTAGTTTTCTGCCATTTGGAATCAAGGATGTGCGGGTCTACAGCTGCAGGAGACTTCAGAGACATCCCCATGCTTTAAAAATTTCTCTCAGGAGAGTGGTAAGGTAGGGTGGCTATTGTCACCACAGGTTGGAAGACAAGACGGTCACAAATGTCAGAGAATTTCTTCTGATGGAAACTTATCCTCTGGGGTGCATTATAATGGACATAAAGACTCAACTTCAGGAAGATGTCAGTTTTCCCCAGTTAATCTACAGATCCAGTGCGTTCAAACTGCCAACCAGATTCTCCTGACAAGCTGATTATCAAATTCATGTGGAAGTATAAAGGACCAAAAATAGCTGAATAATTTTGCTGAAGGGTAAGGGGGAACACATTATTCCAAATATTATTACTTATAAACTCTAGTAACTTCAACACGAATAGAACAATGAAAGAGAGTGGGGGGCCTAGAAAATACAGATGTGAAAATGTTGGAGATGGCTGGGCACTCTAGTGGGTAAAGGATTCGATCATTGGTGCTGTGACGTTGGCTTCCCATGTGGGAAAAATGTAAAACTTGAACTTTATCTCAAACCATTCACAAATGTATACTCCAGATAGAATAAATATGAAAAGCAAAGTTTCAAAACTTTTTTAAAAATGTGTTTTTTAGACAGAGACACGATAAGGACAGAATTTCTTGGTCAAAATATAAAAGCACAAGCCATAAAAGTGTGATGTTACCATTCAAACATTTGTTTAAAGTATGCAGGGCAAAAACCAATACAAAATTTAAGTCTCAAATTAGTAGAAGATATTTGCAGTGCATAAAAGCAACAGAAGATTTTCATCCATAACATATCAGAGTCTCACAAAGTAATAAGTTAAAGACAGCAGAATTAAAACTGGGCAAAGTACGTGACCAAGCCAATATCCAAATAAAAAGATGCCAAACCTTACTTGAATCAGTGAGATGCAACTCACTGATATGAAAACAACTGATGTCATTTTATACTCAAATTAGCAAAATGAACAAGACCAATAACATCAAGCACGGGAAAGGATATGGCCAAATAACTGTTATGCAATGCTGATGGGGATGTAAACTGTTACAACTGCTGTGGAGATAATTTGGGATATCTAGTAAAAATATCTATTAAAAATGAAGATGCTCTGGCCCCAAAACTTCCACTTCCAGGTTTGTTGCTCAGAGAAGCTTTGATGTATAAGAGTGTTCACAGAAGCACAAACAACAGAAATTGGAAAATTATAATAATTACCAACTAATATCTAATAATAGGGGAATGAATAAAATTGTAATACATTAATAAAATATGACACAAATAAATGAACTAGATCCACAGGCATCAAACACAGGTAAATCTCAAAAATCTGTTGAATGTGGCCGGGCGCGGTGGCTCACGCCTGTAATCCTAGCACTTTGGGAGGCTGAGGCAGGCAGATCACAAGGGCAGGAGATCGAGACCATCCTGGCTAACACGGTGAAACCCCCTCTCTACTAAACGAAATACAAAAAATTAGCCGGATATAGTGGCAGGTGCCTGTAGTCCCAGCTACTCGGGAGGCTGAGGCAGGAGAATGGCGTGAACCGGGAGGCAGAGCTTGCAGTGAGCCCGAGATCGCGCCACTGCACTCTAGCCTGGGCAACAGAGCGCGACTCTGTCTCAAAAAAAAATAAAATAAAATATATATATATATATATATGTTGAATGAAATAAGCAAATTTTAAAAGTGCATGTACATTCTGACATTATTTATAAAGAATAAAAGCACATGCCATATATTATTCATTATTATGTCATTGTTTATAGATACTTACATAATAAGAGAATCACAAGTATAAACAAAGCCTCAAGGCAGAACGGTATGCAGTATTGAGGATGGAATAGGGGTGAAGAAGGGGTCTCAACACAAACATTTTATTGCTCGAAATAAAAGATTGAAGCAAATTTGGCAAAAGTTAAATTTGCTAAATCTGACAGATTTATTTAGCAAATCTGCTAATTTGCTAAATAAACTTGCAGCTAGTATATTACCTTCAGTAGTTTTCTTTATATTTGGCATAATTCATAGTTCATGGGAAGAGGTAATTACATATTAAAGATGTATATTCACTGGCTGGGTGCAGTGGTTCATGCCTGTAATCCCAGCACTTTGGGAGGCCAAGACGGGTAGATCACCTAAGGTCAGGAGTTTGCGACCAGCCTGGCCAACATGGTGAAACCTCGTTTCTACTAAAAATACAAAAATAGCCGGGTGTGGTGGCAGGCACTTGTGGTCCCAGCTACTCAGGAGGCTAAGGGAGGAGAATTGCTTGAACCTGGGAGGTGGAGGTTGCTGTGAGCTGAGACCATACCACTGCATTTCAGTCTGGGTGACAGAGCGAGACTCCATCTCAAAATAAATAAATAAATATAAAAAATAAAAGCATATATTCGTAATTAACAGAATAACTGTATGTAATGAGTACCTGCTCTGTTCCAGGCACTGTTTAAAGTATAGGCATACTTCATTTTATTGTATTTTATTTTTTATTGTGCTGCACGGATGTTCTATTTTTAGCAAATTGAAAGTTTGTGGCAACCCTGCATGAAGCAAATCTATCAATACCATTTTTTAATAGCGTGTGTTGACTTTGTGCCTCTGTGTCACCTTTTAATAATTCTTGCAATACTTCAAACTTTTTCATTATTATTGTATCTGTTCTGGTGACTGTAATCAGTTATTTCTGATGTTACTATTTGAATTGTTTTGGGGCACCATGAACCATGCCCATGTAAGACAGTGAACCTGTTGGGCGTGTTCTGACTGCTCCACCACTAGCCATTCTGTCTCCTTCTCCTTAGGCCTCCCTATGCCCTGAGGCATAATATGAAAATTTGGCCAATTAATATTAAAAGTAGGCCAATTAATAACCCTACAATGGCTTCTAAGTGTTCAAGGGAAAGGAAGAATTGCACATCTCTCACTTTAAATCAAAAGTTAGAAATGATTAAGTTTAGTGAGGAAGGAATGTTGAAAGTGGAGATAGGCTGAAAGCTAAGTCTCTTGTGTCAAAATAATTAGCCAAGTTAAGAAGGCAGAGAAAAAGTTATTGAAGGAAATTAAAAGTACTAATCCAGTGAACACATGAATGATAAGAAAACGAAATAGCCTTATTGCTGATAATGGAGAGAGTTTTAGTGGTCTGGGTAAATCCGAACTGCCACAAAATTCCCTTAAGAGAAAGCTTAATCCAGAGCGAAGTCCCAACTCTCTAAAATTTTATGAAAGCAGAAGTAGTGAGGAAGCTGCAGAAGAAAAGTTTGAAGCTAGGAGAGGTTGGTTGATTCAAGTGGTTTAAGGGAAGATACCATCTCCTTAACATCAAAATGCAACATGAAGAAGCAGGTGCTAATATAGAAACTAATAGGTGCTGCAGCACAGCAAGTTATCCAAAAGATCTTTCTAAGATTATTGACAAAGGTGGCTACACTAAACAACAGATTTTCAATGTAGACAAAACAGCCTTTTATTGGAAGAAGATGCTACTAGGTCTTTCACAGCTAGAGAGAAGTCAATGCCTGACTTCAAAAGACAGCCTGCCTCTCTTGTTAGTGGCTAATGCAGCTGGTGACTTTACGTTGAAGCCACTGCTCATTTACCATCCTAAAAACCCTAGGGCCCTTAAGAATTATGCTAAATCTACTCTACTTATACTCTATAAATGGAATAGCAAAGCCTGGATGACAGCACATCTGTTTAGAGCACGGTTTACTGAATATTTAAAGCCCACTGTTGAGACTCACTCAGGAAAAAAGATTCCTTTCAAAATATTACTGCTCTTTGAAAATGTACCTGGTCACCCAAGAGATCTGATGGAGATGTACAAGGAGATTAATATTGTTTTTCATGACTGGTAAAACAACATTGCTTTTACAGTCCATGGACCAAGGAGTAATTTTGACTTTCAAGTCTTGTTATTTAAGAAATACATTTTGTAAGGCTAGGGCTGCCATAGATGATGATGCCTCTGATAGATCTGGGCGAAACCTTCTGGAAAGGATTTACCATTCTAGATGCAACAAAGAACATTTGTGATTCATGGGAGGAGGTAAAAATACCAACATTAAGAGGAGTTTGGAAGCAGGTGATTCCAATTCTCCTGGATGAGTTGGAGGGAGGGGTTCAAGACTTCAGTGGAGGAAATAATTGCAGGTATGGTAGAAATAGCAAGAGAACTAGAATTAGAAGTGGAGCCTGAAGACGTGGCTGAATTGTTGCAATCCCATGATCAAACTTGAACACATGAGGAGTTTATTCTCTCTGATAAGCGAAGAAAGTGGTTTCTTGAAATGGAATTTACTCCTGGTGAAGATGGTGTGAACATTGTTGAAATGACAACAAAAGATGTAGAATATTATATAAACTTAGTTGATAAAGAGACGTCAATATTTGAGACGCGTGACTCCAATTTTGAATGCTGTTCTACTGCAGGTAAAATGCTATAAAACAGCATTGCATGCTACAGATAAATCTTTTGTGAAAGGAAGAGTCAATCAATGTGGCAAGCTTTGTTGTTGTCTTATTTTACGAAATTGGCACAGCCACGCCAACTTTTGGCAACCACCGTTCTGATCAGTCAGCAGCCATCGACATCAAGGCAAGATACCCGCCATCGGCAAAAAAATTACGACTCACTGAAAAGCTCAGGTGATTTTAGCATATGTTTGGTAATAAGTTATTTTTGATTCAGATATATACATTGGTTTTTTCAGACATAATGTCTTTGTACACTTAGTAGACTACCTTATAGGGTAAACATAACTTTTATGTACCCTGGGAAACCAAAAAATGTATGTAACTGGCTTTATTGTGATATTCGCTTTATTGTGGTGGTCTGGAACTGAATGTGAGATATCTCTGAGGTACTGTACTGGAATTTCCAAGGTTAGTGAAACATCCTTTCTGTAGCCTGAGTGGTGAGATTTAGGCTAGTCTCCAAAATATCAAAACTAACTAGAATATAATGTAATAACAGTGATCATTAAGATAACAATGCTAGCAGCTACCATTCACTGAGTACTATGTGCCATGCACTCTGCAAGCGCTATTTTATTAATGCTCGTGTGTGAGGTAGATATTATTATTATTCTTGTTTTATATTCAAGGTTCAGAGAGGTTAATTCACTTGCTCAGAGTCACACAGGTAGCCCAGATCTGCTATGTGCCAGCCCTAATTACTGAGCCATCCTGTCTGTCCCACCTTTTCTGAGCCAACTCCCGGCTTCTCCTGCACCACGGGTCGTGTAGCTGGCTTTGAATATAGGGTCGTGTAGCTGGCTTTGAATATAGGTGCTCTTTTTATATAATTGCTCTTGAAAGGATCAACTTTCCTTTTTTTTCAAATAATTCAGTAACTTTGACTTTTTATTAGGTTACACTGGCCTTCTCCCAGGTTTTTCATTAAATTCATGAAGACTGCTGCTCCTTAAATTCTCAAGGCGTTGGAGTCAGGCCGCCTGGGGTGAATCCTAGCTTTCAGATTTATCAAATGTGGTGTGATTTCTAGGATGCCATTGAGCCCTGCTAAAGGAGTTGCTAATATCCACCTCTTCCTGCCCAAAGAACCCACAACTCCCAGCACAGTGCTGGTGCCTGTGAGGCGCTCAGCAGATGGGAGCTTTGTTCCTAGTTGTGTTGTGATGGGGAAGCAACATGGCGCCTTGTCCTGCGGGCACACGTGAGTTAAGATCACAATGGGGCTCCTTCAGGCCCTGGGCCGAGTTGGGGCATAGGCCGAGTTCGGGTATTGCTGCAGCCTCAGAACTGCCCAGAGTTGACTGAAGACACTCAGGGACCTCCATAACTGAGAGCAGGCAGAGGCATTGTTTTTAACCCAGTGTGGACCCCCAAATGGAACATTTTCCTTCCCTAGGTGAACGCCTTCAGAACCCTCCGAAAATCACAGTTTCACTTTTAGCAAGGCCCCGCTGCAGCAGGGGAAAGCCCCCACAAACCCAGTCCTCTCCAAAGGGAGCGTTCTGAGCCCCCTGCTTCCTCCGCCCTTCTCTTCCCCCCGGTTAATTCCTTCGCTGCAGCTCGTTCTGCCTTCTTTCTTTCTTTGCCTTTTCAAGCCCCGCTCCTCTCTGATTTTGGAGGGCTGGCGCAGGCTTGGGCACTTCTTTCAAGGTTCTGTATTGTCTGTCTGCCCTGTGGCTTCTCCTTCTGCAACTCCGAGCAACTTTGTGCTTGGATTGCAGCTCCCAATAGTCCTGCCCTGACTTGCCCCAGGCACAGGGCAGAGATGAACCAGGGACTGTACCCAGGGTTTTGAGTTCCGCCATGTTTATAGCATCAACTCTCCTTTAGCTCTTGGGAAAAAGAGTTTTAAAGTGCTGCAATCTTCTAACACAAAATTATATCAATGCTGAAAATGTGTTTTCCACTTATACCCCAGCAGGAAAAAAAAAAAAAAAAAAAAGAGGATATCTATTTCAGGTGAGAGTCATGATGACCTCAGAAAGCAATATCAAAAGCTATCAAAATGTTTATACGGGTAGATTCAGTAATCCAATCTGGAGCGTTTCTCCAATGGATGTAATCTTAGGCTTGGCACAATACAGCATGAACAGAGATGTTAAATGTTAAAAGCAATGGAAATGTTCAGAAATAAAGGAATACTTAAGTAAACAGTGATAATGCATTCAGTATATTTTTAGGGATTAACATGATGTTTTAGAATTACGAAACCTGTGGAAAGATTGACAAGGAAAACGCAGACAGCATGCTTGATACAAACATACATTCAGCATGATTATAACCATATAAAATGTAAAAAATGTTTTTAAAACATGAGAAGAAATTACACCAAGATGTGTTTCCCTTGCTGTTGTTTCTAGTGGCTAATTTTTGCAATGTGTATTACTGCAGTTATAATACCTTTACAAATGGAAAGCTTAAAAATAACTCACTTCCCGTCCCAGAGAGCAATGCTCAGTGCAAAGCCACACTCCACTCCAGAGATGGCCTTCAGCACTGGACTTTTTGGGGCCAGAATCAAGCAGTATGTGTCACTTCTTGTCTTATGTTGTTGGTGCCACTTATTCATATGTTGTCTCATAATTCTGCAGTTGTTTAATGTGTTTATATCTTTCTCCACAACCATTTTTTAAAAGCTATTTTTAAAATTGTGACAAAACACATGCATAACACAAATTTACCATTTTAGTCATTTCTAAGTATACACTCCAGTGGCATTAAGTATATTTATATTTTTGGGCAATCATTACCACCATGCATCCACAGAACTTTTTCATCTTCCTAAGCTAAAACTGTACCCATTAAGCACCAACCGCCTATGCCCCATCCCCCAGTTCCAGGTAACCGCTATGCTATTTTCAGTTTCTCTGACAAATTCAGAGACACCACTCTTGGTACCTCCTACAAGTAGAATCATACTGTATTTACCTTTTTGCACAATCATTTTTTAAAACTTTAAAAAAAATTAATTAATTTGACAGTCTCACTCGGTCACCCAGGCTGGTTGGTGTTTGCAGTGGCATGATCATGGCTCACTGTAGCCTTGACCTCCTGGACTCAAGTGATCCTCACATCTCAGACTCCCGAGTATCTGGGACTAAGGCACCCACCACAGTGCCTGGCTAATTTTTTAATTTTTAGTAGAGATGAGGTCTCACTATGTTGCCCAGGCTGATCTCAAACTCCTAGGCTCAAGGGATCCTGCTACTTCAGCCTTTCAAAGTGCTGAGATTACAGTGTGAGCCACCAGGCTCGGCCTGCAGAATCATTTTAAAAAGCTCTCTGAGGATAAGGATGAAGGCCCTGATTTGTTTTCATTGTAAGCATAATGTTCATTTGCTCATTGATTTGACATTCACTGTGCACCCACGACATGTGTGCACTGTTCAAGGCAGGGTTTAAGCAACGCTCAAGAAGCACATGTGGTCTCTCAAGGGGACGGTGTAGTGGACAGAGATAATGAAGAAAAACACAGGGAAGAAAGAATGACAGAGAGTGAGAAGTGCTGTAAGTGCAGTGACAGAGACCACCCCGGGGCCTCCTGGATAGGCTGCATGTTTGTAGGATGATGGAGAGTGGTCCTGGAGAAGACTGAGGAGGAGCCCTAGGGGGTCCAGGCAGAGAGAGGAGGGGCACAGAGCTGGAGGAGGGAAGGGCGTTTGTACAGTGTGTGTGTGCGTGTGTGTGTGTGTGTGTGTGTGTGTGTGTGTATGCTGGGGGACATGCAGGGAGATGGCAGGCCTCAGCACTGGGGAGAGCTAGGGTGCATTCTAGATGCAGCGGGGAGCTAGAGCAGGGACCCTCTTCTCCCTGCTCGGCCTGGCAGCAGGGAAGGAGGCCCTGGGCTGTGGCTGATTGCAGTCAACACTGAGGAACAAGTGCCAATGCTTCGTGCAGGGCACAACCTCTGCCACACTTTTACCTATGTGACCTTCTGGGCCAGGTGCTGTGTGAGGTGCTCCATTTCTCAGATAGGAAGGCTGAGGTTCAGATCAATGCTGCCTTGCACACAGCTGGAAATGGCCAAATCAGCCCCAAAGCCCCACTTTGTTCTGCGTCTTTGTGAAGGTCCGGGTGGCTGTGTGTGCAGTGTCTGTTGTGCTGGACATACAACACGAAAGCAATTGTTACCTCTAATTTTTAGGAGGCCAAAGGACAAGAAGCCACGTGCTATAGGCCAAAGAGCAACTAAGGGATTGAAGAGTAAATCTGTGATTGAATGAGCAGATGAAAAGAGGAAAAGCCTCCCCTAGCACAAACCCGCAACCCATTCCCTTCCCAGCGTCCTGGCAGGAGGGGGTTTCATCACCGTCCTGGGTCAGGGAAGAGAGAGGGAGGCCTTGTGGTGGAGGGGAGGGGAGGAGAGCTCACCATCAAAGGTGTAAAGAAGGTTCTAGTCCCTCCAGAGCACACTCAGGGATGCTTTCTTGTGCTTCTGTCGCAAGGCCTGGTCTCAATCTTGCTTACTATAAATGCAGTGCTACGTCCTGCTTTTCCTTTACTTCATTGCATAAACCTTCCCTGAATCACTTACAGAATCTTTAGAACCACCATTTTTAAGGTTTGAATAGTTGCGTACCAAGTAAATGACCACAGCTTATTGAAACTCTTCTTTGTAGTCAACCACTTAGATTGTTCTGTTGTTATTTCTAGAACACATAACTAATGCTAATAAATAATGAAGATAACACAGATTAGTATTTCCTGAGGATGGATCTCTTGCGTGGGTTCCAAAGCTCTAAGCAATTTCTATGGGCCCTGGAGTTTCCTCCACAGCTCCTAAGGCGGCTCTGGCACATGAGGAAGCTGGGAAAAGAACAGGGGTGATGGACACATCTGCCTTGCAGGGGTGATGGGCGCATCTGCCTTGGTAAGTGAACTTGTTGGTTCCGTCCCACGCAGCTTGGGTGTCTGCACGGCGGTGTGCTGCTGGGGTTGGAGAGGGGCCGCCCTACATAACGTCCCCACATAAAAGGGGCAGGTGTGCAGGTGGTCCCAGGGATGGTGGCAGCTTTGTCTGACTCCCCTCTACTGGGGGACTGTGGGGGATGTGGGAGTGGAGGGTGCGGATCACCCTCCTCCTCCGGGGTCCTCCAACCTCTCCTTGGCCATTCTCTTTGACTTCCTTGGGAAAGAGTCCAGGCTTCAGAGGATTCTTCGCCCATTTCAATCTGACCCCATTTGAATCCCCAACGGTCGCAGTAAACCCCAGGCACACGAAGACAGAGACTTGTGGCTGGCTTGCGGTTGCTGTGATCACGTTGGAATCAGACAACCGCTGCCCTGGCAGGCAGCACCCAGGCACCTCTCAGGTGGGAAAAGACTGAGCCAGGTGAATGTCCCGGAGCTCCAGCCAGCTCAGACTCCTATGGGTGATAACTGCACCTCTCGGAGGAAGCCAACAGAAAGTGCATGCAGCGGCAACATGAGCAAAGAGAAGTGCTGGGACCCGTTCTTTGCTGCCACCTCCAAGTCTGAACAGCAGGCTCTAAGGGGGGCCTGGGAGCCCCTCAGGAAGGGCCACTGCCCGTGCCTCACCTCCTGCCCGCCACTCCACTGTTTATTGCCCTACCTGACTGTAACAGGCTGCGTCTTCAACGTGGTGTCAGCTGCCCCAGAGACACACCTGAAGAACACCAGGAGACAGGGGTGCCATTCGGACATGAACAGGAGCTCCTACCTGAATGTGCAGACCTCCACCACTGGAGCTCTCGGGGGAAAACATCCACGACAGCCTCGCTGAGCCTTGAAACATTTGCAGACCAAGCAGGCTCAGGTGCCCGTGTTTGCAGGCGGTTTTGTAGAACGTGTCATTTATCTTATATTGATGTACCCTTGACAGCCCGAGAGGAAGTGTGGTCTTGTGGGGAGCTCTGTGCAGGCAACATGAGCGTCTGTATTGTCTTCCTAGCTCTGCCCCGGTTGTCAGAGGAGTCCATCTGGGCCACAGGGGTGAGGGGCCGTCACCCCTGCCTTTTGGTTAGCCAGTGACACCTCCCCAGTTGTGTGGCAGGTGATGCAGCAAAAATGCCCATGAGCTCCTCTCAACATTCAAAACAAAACAGAGAGCCACTCTAAAACAGTGGATTTCTTGCAAATGGAATATGCTGAGAATCTGTGACATGTGCAGGTCGGTAAGTGAGAAGGAAACAGGAACTACCGATCTATTCTGACCATGTAGAAAGCAGTGGAGGTTTGGGGCCAGGAGAACAAAAGACCTATGGGAGAGGAGGTGACCCAGCAAGGGTGGCCATGGACTTGGGTGAATCACCTGAGCCCTGTCACTTGGAAAGAACCCTACCACCATCTTAATCCTTTCTGCATAGATACCTTACTGTGCTGCTGCTGGGTGTGAAGCACGGCTACTAAAAATGTTCACTTCATTTTTTAAAAGTAGAGCAGGTTCAAGGTTATTGCTGTAGAAGACAGTGTCGCTCTCACTCATGTGCGTTGTGGGAGGTTTCCTTAGCAGGATCGAAAGAGGTGGAATTACAGTGGGCACAGGAATTGGCTATGGTTCACACATGTAGACATGATTGCATTTTTTTTGTTGTTTTGTTTTGTTTTGTTTTGAGAAGAGTCTCGTTCTGTCGCCCAGGCTGGAGTGTAGTGGCACGATCTCGGCTCACTGCAACCTCTGCCTCTCGGGTTCAAGCGATTCTCCTGTCTCAGTCTCCCAAGTAGCTGGGATTATAGGTGCCCACCAACACACCCAGCTAATTTTTGTATTTTTAGCAGAGGCAGTGTTTCACCGTGTTGGCCAGACTGGTCTCCAACTCCTGACCTCAGGTGATCCACCCACCTCGGCCTCCCAGAGTGTGAGGATTACAGGAGTGAGCCACCGTGCCCGGCCAACTGTGGATTTTATCGCAGCAAAAAGTTCATCTTGGTACATCAGCTAAGACTGCGGTCAAGTGTAAGCCATTGAGTAGACTGGTTTTTGAGTGATTCTTGGAAGCTTGCAAGGACTTCTTTTGAGAAAGAAAAATAAAACTCTCTGGTAGACTTAAACATGAATCGGCTTGCCCTGAGAGTTCGGGTTCTATGTCACGAGAGGCAGTTAAATGTGGACTGGGGGCCTGGTGCGGTGGCTAATGCCTGTAATCCCAACACATTGGTAGACTGAGGTGGGTGGATTGCTTGAGCCCAGATTGAGACTAGCCTGGCCAACATAGTGAAACCCCATCTCTACAAAAATACAAAAAATTAGCCAGGCGTGGTGGCATGTGCCTGTGGTCCCAGCTACTCAGGAGGCTGAGGTGGGAAGATCACTGGAGCCCAGGAGGCAGAGGTTGCAGTGAGCTGAGATGGCACCACTGCACTCCAGCCTGGGTCACAGAGCAAGACCCCATCTCAAAAAAAAAAAAAAAAAAAATGTGGAGTAGACAAATATGGGGCAGGGTTGCTCTTTGCTGTAAAGGGTGTTCACGTTTTATTTTGGAAGCTGAATTAGGTGAACTTTAAATTCTTTTTGCAACATAGAGTTCTACAGCTCTGGACTAATGGATCAGATTTTGCTAGTTGCAAAGATTTTTGAATTTTAATTGCAGTTTGCTGCTGTTTCACCCACAACAAAAGTAGAGGAAGAACTCATAGCTTATATGCACTGATCACGAACTCTGGGACTTTATAGAGCAGACGAGGAAAACTTGTGTAGGACCTGAACTTGAACTGCCTTGACTCTTGTTCCCATGTGCTGGGGGATGGGGCAAGGACATCTCACTAGGTATCAGTGGGTGGTATACACTATCTGAGTAAAGTCCTATCCTTATAGTGTTGTTTTCTTGCCTGGTGACTTGACTGAGTTTAGGCTTAGTGACCTGCTTGTAAAATGGCAAGAGTGTGTACGTGCATAAGTGATTAATTGACATAATGCAGGTAAATAGTACAGTACCAAACGCATAACAAATGCTTAATAAATGAAGATGGTGGCCGGCAAGTGGGGGTGAATGTCAATAAACAACATGTGAAGATATGGATCATCTGGTCACTTTAAACTTTTAGCCAGATCAATGTGGGCAAAATTTCTCTAAAAATAACTAGAATTGTGTGTGTGTGTGTGTGTGTGTGTGTGTCTGGACCCACAGAGAAGTTTTTTTTTTTTTTTCACTTTTTTTTTAAAATTTATTTATTATTATCATACTTTAAGTTGTAGGGTACATGTGCATAACGTGCAGGTTTTTAACACAGATATATAAAGTAGATAATCTCATTTATATTTTGGAAAATTTTAATTTTTAAAAATGTTTGTTATTTGATGATGATGATTTGTTTCCCCTTCAGAGGAGGTTTTCCAACTCTGGGAGATGCTGTTGACAATCTCACTTCTGAAGTTAAGAGGCCTTTTGAATGGCTCTGGCCACTGAGAAGTGAAACCCTGGGAGCAGCTAGAGACCGCCAGCCTGTGATATTCAGAGTCAATGTGTAAGTGTGAAGTTCTGTGCAAGTAGGTTTTAAATAGGTACAGCCTAAAATACATAATTTTCTTATTATCAAAATCACATGCCTTTTTAAGGAAAATTCTAAGAAACACAGAAAAGCAAAGAGAAGAGGAAAATGAAGTATTCATATGGGTCTACCTCCAAAGATGCAACCAGCAACCCGCAACCTCTACTTTATTATCTTTTAGATTCCTTTACTCTCTTAAAAATGGGGCCCTACTCTAGCTGCTCTAATAACACTTCATCACTTTTTAAAAACAGTAATTTGTTTCTTGTCATTATCTCTTCTCCATATATACATACACACTTTTTTTTTTCCAAAATGGAGATTGCATTGTTGTTTTGCCTGGTGGTCAGTGTAATACACAGATGGAAGTACTGCACATGCATAAACACTCGTAATCTGCCCCTCACCAATCCCTGTCGCAATCAGAGTAACCATTTTGGCATATGCTCTTTCTTTACTTTTTTTTTTTTTTTTTTTTTTTTTTCTTGGCTCTGTTGCCCAGGCTGGAGTGCAGTGGCACTATCTTGGCTCACTGCAACCTCTGCCTCCTGGGTTCAAGCAATTTCCCCAGCCTCATCCTCAGCCTCCTGAGTAGCTGCAACTACAGGTGCATGCCACCATGCCCGGCTAAGTTTTTGCATTTTAGTAGAGACAGGGTTTCACCACGTTGGTGAGGATGGTCTCGATCTCCTGACCTCGTGATCTGCCTGCCTCGGCCTCCCAAAGTGCTGGAATTACAGGCATGAGCCACCGTGCCCGGCCAACGAATGTTTAATGAAATGGAAGCATATCTCACAATGCATATTAAATGGTAATAAGTTTACATTTAATAATGCATTGTGAATATCTTCCTTTATTAACATTCTTGCCGGCAGCGGTGGCTCATGCCTGTAATCCAGCACTTGGGAGGCGAGGCGGGCGAATCACGGAGGTCAGGGATCGAGACCATCTCTGGCTAACATGGTGAAACCCGTCTCTACTAAAAGGCAAAAAGTGAGCCGGGCGAGTTGGCGGGGCGCGTAGGCGCCAGACGCGCGAAGATGCTGATGGCAGAGAAGGGCAGGAATACCCGAGGCGGGAGCGGGCATGGGAGCCTGATGATCTGCGCCTACTGTCATCTCCTGCTGGTTGTTTGTGATTCGAAGCGAGACTCTGGTTTTCTTGGCGCCAAAAAAAATTAATATATTATATAAATTAAAAAAAGAACACAGCGTTTTGTACAGAAATTATTTTGATGTCATTTATTACCTTGCTCAGTGGATGTCATCCGCATATTCACCTGGGTACCTCCGGTGGTACTCTAGTCCGTGTTTTAGCATGGTTTCCTTTTTTTTTTTATTTTATGTTTTTGAGACAAGGTCCTCGCCTCTTCTGTCACCTAGGTTGGAGTGCAGTGGTATGATCCTGGCACACTGCAGCCTCAACCTCCTGGTTTCAAGTGATCCTCCCACCTAAGCCTCCTAAAGTGCTGGGATTATAGGCACGAGCCACAGGGCCCAGCCAGTTTTTAGCATGTTTTCAATATGCTCACAATACTGCAATGCATGTCTTTGCCACTAATAATTCTTGTGGGACTGGGCGTGGTGGCTTGCACCTGTAATCCCAGCACTTCGGCAGGTCACTTGAGGCCAGCAGTTTGAGACCAGCCTGGCCAACGTGGCAAAACCCTGTCTCTACTAAAAATACAAAATTTAGCCGGGAGTGGTAGCACATGCCTGTAATCCCAGCTACTCGGGAGGCTGAGGCATGAGAACCGCTTGAACCTGGGAGGCAGAAGTTGCTGTGAGCTGAGATCATGCCACTGCACTCCAGCCTAGGGGACAGAGTGAGACTCTGTCTGAAAAAAAAAAAAAAAATTATTGTTATTATTGTGCATAACCAATAACATCAGGAATATTTTCATGATATATTCATAGAAGTGAAATTGCTGGTCCAAAAAAAATACACAAATTTGAAGCTCTAGATATGTATTGCCAAACTTCCCTTCAGAATGGTGAGACCAGCCTGGACTCCCAGCAATGGCTTATGAATGAGCCCATTTATCAGCACTCTCATCCGCCTGAAATGTTGTATTATGGTACAATCTGGTAAAATCCATTTAAAAAATGCATGCATTCCTTTTGTTTGTTTATTATTTTAATACTTCCAATTTACATTAGAAACCAGTTTGCATTTAATTTTATTAGATTTTGTTATTAAATTACTAAATTTCTGGTTTCTTTCTGTCTTTTTAAGAAACATTATTTATTTAAATCATTTAGAATTTCTTTTGGTGTCAGCTATGAAGGGTTAAAACTCAGTTTTTTCCAAATAGTTAACCAATTGTCCTGGCACTCTTTATTATAAGCTATTCTTTTGGTTGTTTGTTTTTGAGATGGAGTCTTGCTCTGTTGTCCAGGCTGGAGTGCAGTGGCCTGATCTTGGCACACTGCAACCTCTGCCTCCTGGGTTCAAGCGATTCTCCTGCCTCAGCCTTCCAAGTCGCTGGGATTACAGGCACCCGCCATCATGTCTGACTAATTTTTGTATTTTTGTAGAGACAGGGTTTCACCATGTTGGCCAAGCTGGTCTTGAACTCCTGACCTCAGGTGATCTGCCTGCCTCGACCTCCCAAAGTGCTGGGATTACAGGCATGAGCCACCGTGCCCAGCTTCTATAATCTATTCTTTCCCCATGTTTGTGAATGCTACGTTTGTCATGTAATCCACATGTTCAAATGGAGTCTATTCATGCATCACTTCAGTTGTTGAAATCAGCAATTTAAAACTGATCAGTAAATATCTAGCGGCTGATAATCCCATGAGGCCAGAGAAACTTTTGCCTTTGAGAAAGAAAATGTTTTCCTTCTGATTCTAAAATAATAGGTGAGTTGCATTCCTCTGTCTCTGCAATTTTTCCTTCTGCTAGGACCCACAGATGGGGAAAATGAGACATCTGATGAGGCAGCAGGAATCCAGAAACCAGAACACGGCTAACCAGTAACGAAGTTGTGGGATCACTGACGCTCCCCTACCCCAGACACGGGTGGTCAAAGTAGAAACTGAAGATCAGCCTCAGAGACTCCCAGACTGAGGAGTCAGCCTAATTTTCTGATAAGAAATTAAAGACTCGGGGCTGGGGGAAGTGAGAGAAGTATTATTCTCAAACTTTTAGGGGGGAAAAAAAAACACACACAAAATGAAACAAAACAGTGAAAAGAATGATCAGGAAGTCAGTAACTTCATTGTGCCTGTGCTTGCAATGCCATGTTTTTAACTGTAGGAATCAGCCATTGTAATAACAAATCCCACTGCTGTAAAGAAGGTATAAGTGAGTGGGAAAGGGTCTTAATTGTGATCTCTCATCTCACCAGCTTGAGTGTCCGCACCATGCAGCCACAGCCAGAGCAGCACACTCTATCTGGGGTGGTGAATTGTAATTTTAGGCAAATATCAGAGGAGAAAATAAATTACCTTGAGTGCTTATAAAACTAAAAATAGTAAGAGAAGGCCAGGTGCGGTGGCTCACACCTGTAATCCCAGCGCTTTGGGAGGCTGAGGAGGGTGGATCACCTGAGGTTAGGAGTTCAAGACCAGCCTGGCCAACATGGTGAAACTTTGTCTCTACTAAAAATCCAAAATTAGCCGGGCATGGTGGTGTGTGCCTCCAATCCCAGCTACTCGGGAGGCTGAGGCGGGAGAATCGCATGAACCCGGAAGGCGGAGGCTTCAGTGAGCCAGGATCATGCCACTGCACTCCAGCCTGGGTGACAGAGTGAGACTCAATCTCAAAAAATAAAAAAATTTAAAAAAAAGAGGAGATGTCATATCAAATAAGAGGAAGGGCACAGTCACATGAGGTTTTTATGTGGCACCAAATAACCTGTTTGAGTAGGGAATAAATGCCAACACTGTCAGGTTATGAGCCACTACGATGCCCACTTTTCCTGCTCCCACTCTCCCTTCTGTTGTTGGTTTGCCCCCAATTTACTGCTCCCTGTGTGTGTTGAGCTTTGTAAGCTGCCCCAGATCCTTTTTGGGAATTAGGCAATGCAAGAATAAATAAAAACATTGATTCTTAGGAGCTTTTCAATGTATTATAAAATTGCATTTTCACAGACAAGTTAATAAAAATAAAAAGAGGAATACTTTTGTTTTGATCTCTTGTTATTTAAATGAAATTAATTCCTTTTCCAGGGGAAAGATTTGTTTTAACACTCATGGTCAGCGCTGGCCTCCCCTCCCCTCCCCTCCCCTCCCCTCC